AAACGAGCCAGTCTGAACCAGTAGCAGCCCACCACTGCTTCCAACTCTGTTATTCTCTTATCCATCTGTCCTGAATCTTTTGACAGCTTCACATTAGGGTCCTGAATACCCTGGTTCTGTTGCCTTTCTCTTAACCGATATTGTTCCCAAGTTAAAATCTTTCCTGTAGAGGAATTGGTCCAATTCCTTATTAATATTGGTTGCCATTTTCTTCACTTTTTAAAGTTCTATAAAGAAATGTAATAAGAAAAATAATTGCACGAAGGGGGAGAAGTGTGTAGATTGGATTTCTGCAGCTTTTAAAGCATGTATCTTTTCCTTTTTCTCCAAAATTACCCCGGCATTGAGGAATAGAACATGTTATGCTTTCATCCTCCTACAACAGAGCTTGTCATCTTTCGCATCCTGTCGGTAACTCTGGGCATATGACAAGTCTAATTTTCTGCATTTGGAATCAAACGAAGGGGGAGGAATGAATGTTCAGGTCAAACAGATCCCAAGCAATACTAGAAAAAATAATTTATTCAAAATAACACTTCAACATGCCTCACACATTTCAAGTTCTGCATAGGAAGTTCTTCAAAAGAAGCAACTCCTACTCCCCCAAAACATCTTCCTGTCATATCTTTTCTGTGACAAAGAAAGTTGTGATCTCCTTTGAAAGAGCAATCGCCTGAAGAAAAAAAACTTTCTGTGAAGAGAAAAAAGGATATGCAGAGAAATTAAATCCAATCCAATTTAAGGTTCTCTTTGCAAGGCAGAAGTCTATCCTGACAGATTTGTGTCTGGATTTTTTAATAAACTATCCAGACATAAACTGACCGATGCATTTCATTGTTTTTCATTTTGAGACTGGATAAAGCTTCTGGATTCTTGGTTTTGTCTTTTTACAGCAAAATTATAGTCCACCTCACAACAACGTAGGGCTCTTTGCGCCCGTGTTTACTTTCTTGCAAATCCCATGGTCTGTCCAAGAAGTGCTAAAAACTAGAAGCAGTGCTGATCAGAGGCATCATCAACCATGATGAGACTCCCAAATGATAAAAGAGGCACCATGATATTACAACATCAGTTCCACCCTTCTATACATGCATAGTAAGGTCATCCCTTCGGTGGAAGTCTTGGATGCTGCTAGGAATGATGCAGTTTGGCTATTGGAAAGAAAGCAAATGTGGCCATCCTCTACTTCAAGGGTCTTCAAACTTGGCAAGTTTAAGACTTGTGGACTTCAACTCCCAGAATTCCCAGTCACATAACATGAAAGCCATTCTCTCTCAGCCCAATTTACTTCTCAAGGGATGTTGTTGTGGGGGGAAAATAGGAGGAGGAAAAAGTATTTAGGCATGTTTGCCATTGTCAGTGATTTATAAAAATAATAAAGGCAGGATAAAAATCTAATAAATAAACAGCATGATATGAGTAGAACAGATTTTAATTAGGAAGCTAAAATGGTAAAGGATGCATCTTTGCCTATTTAACTTCATTCTCATAAGAATCAAAGCAGTGATCTAAGTTGTGTACCTGTGTAAACGAACTGGGAAGCAAGTGGGGTCAAGATATAAATTAGGCAACAATATATATTTGGAGTATATTTCAAGGTACTTGGAATTCTAGCTTCAAATACAAAGCTTAGGAATGGGATGGAGGAAAGGGATGAAAAACAATCACAAATCCTTTCAGTAGTTAGAAACTGGCCTCTAGAAAAACTCAGCTAAGCCTACCATATTCTTAATGTTTTTTAATCAACAGAACTGCTAAATAAGTAATTAAGACTGTAGTCCCTTGTATTTACCTGCCAGAAAATCTTGCTTTATTCAGGGGAGTTACTTCTGTATATAAAATTACACTGCAAATTCTATAAATAGCAATAGCCATTCAAGCATAGTACTAAGTATGTTTATTCAGAAGCATATCCTATTACATTCAGTCATAACAAGGCAAGGAATAGCATCAGGGTATAGACCAAAGAATCTGACAGAGATGATTGCAGATTTTTCTCAACAAACAAATGGTCCTTTAATATAAGAAGCCTTGCTTTCCTATGCAGTTTCTAAAACATTTCATTTTAAATTGTTTTAATTGTATATGTGGACGTTGTAAGCCACCAAGAATTTTTCAGCATGAGAGGCCATAGTAAATCAGGATGATGATGATGATGATAATAGTAGTAGTAATAGTAGTAGTAGTAGTAGTAATAATAATAATAATAATAATAATAATAGTATTTTTAAGTAACTGTTTTTAAAATATAAGAAAATTAGATGTCCATGCTCCAGTTCTTTTTAATAAAACTATTTAAGAATGAAAAATTATGCTAATATTTTGCAAGCAATATCACAGAACATTGTTATTCTCTGTTGAGAAATTACGTTCAGTATAAATTAATATTTCAGATTATTATGTTTAATTGGATATAGTTTATCTAAACACTATCTTTTCTATGCAGAGCCATAAATTAGGTCTGTACTGCCCCCTATTAATGTATTTAATGTATTTCTAGGATGAAATTAGTTGTTATTTTACTCCTCACAGTGATTTAACAATGTTATGCGAGTGTAGAAGAGGCATATTTATTGAACCAATACTGCTTGGAAATCATTCAGCTACTAAGTTGCTAAGTGAGTTTTGCCCCATTTTATTATCTTTCTTGCCACCTGCAGTTCTTAAGTTAGTCACATGGTTGTTAAGTGAATTTGGCTTCTCCATTCACTTTGCTTGTCAGAAAGTCACAAAAAGGGATCACATGACTCCCCACCCCACCCAGGCACTGTGACCATCGTAAATACATGCCAGTTGCCAACCGTCCAAATTTTGATCAATTTGTGACCAATGGAATGCTGCAACAGGTGTTAAATGTAACAAACGGTCATGAATCACCTTTTTCAGTGCCATTGTAACTTCAACCAATCCGTAAACAAATGGTTGTAAATTGTTGGTTGTATATGATAACATAGAGAAAAATGGGCGCTAGTAAAATCACAACAGTAACATCACTCAGAGCTAATACCAGTCTATTGTCATTGTAATATAACCTATAGCAATCTCTCTCTCTCTCTCTCTCCCTCCCTCCCTCCCTTTTAATAGACTTTTGTGTGTCCCCAGAATTACCTGCTTGTATTGGAAAGCCCACTTTAATATTATCTAAGTTTCCCATCATTTCCACCGTGCTTTTTAAGTTAAATGGGAAAACAGATAATCATTCATCTTTCACTTCCTCCCTTCTGACTCAATTCCTGATCCAGTTATTCAGACCATATTAGAAATTCAGGTATGAAATAAGTTCGCAGCAGGCAAAAATCGAAGAGTGGTGGATTTTTCTTTTCTCCCGGGCTGATTTTGCTGAAACATTGATTGTTTACATGTGCTGCAAATTGGAAGAAAGAGAGTTTTCGGTCCTCACTGAGAGCTTTCTTTTTTTTAGCAGTTGGATCTGAGACAGTACTGCTGGCTTCATATTCTAATACTTGATGCATTATTAGCTTGATCAGATCCCCATGTCCATGTCTACCAAAATAAAGCATTTTCTTCTTCATTTTGTCTGTTTCAGCTCAAGAAGAATGGACCATAAGTCGTCCCAGCCTAAAAGCTCCAACTCCCAGGTCAACCAGGGGGAGTTACAGGGAACATCCCTATGGTAGATATTGAAAGATATTCTCCACATCTGTGACCTCAACTTAAAGACAATTAAGAACCCGTGGTCTCCACGTAAATGGCAACAAGACAAGTAATAGCCCATTTTTTTCTATCCTAGGAATTACTGCTTATGATTACCTGTATACTACTTATGTTTCCAGAATGGAGTGAAACTGGCATTAGTATTATTTTTAGGACATGGACTTTAAAAGACTGTTGGCAGTTGTTGACTAAACCTTTCAGCAAGATGATGTTGTCTTGGTTTTTCCTCCTCACTGTTGTGTGTAATTTTAAAGCAAAACAGGAAAAAAAAACAAAAAAAGAAGCATGAAGCTGCATCTCTTACACCCTGTCCCCACACTAAGGTTGAGTTTTTATTTAGGGTTGCTAACAAAAATGTAATATGACCTTTTTTGAAGCAGATGATAATTGAGATGTAGATAAGCTGTTTTAACCTGTCTTTTAATATATGTTAGTTAGATTTAAAATGCTTAATATTAAGTTTGTAAATTTCATTTTAAATGCTGTTTTAACGGGGTTGACAACAAGCTGCTACTGTATGGATGTAGCTAACTGAAATTGTCCAGTGTTTTAATCTGTATTTGTTTTGTTTTTTATTATTATTTTTTAAATCACATAAAGTTCCATGTGTAAGCTTCTCTAAATAGGAAACATAATTTTGTCAAATATGTTTGCCATAACTTGTCAATAAAGCTGAAAACTTTTGTAACAAACTAAATTTGGAATTACGTGTGTTTAGCTTTAAATGCCTGCTTGATTTCTTCTTCAAGAGATGCCTAAATATGTTTTTTATATAAACCCTTTCTTTTACAAAAACAAAATCTATATATAAATGAACCCAAGTTTGTTTTAAGACGATGTGCAAGACTTTAAAAAAATTGTATTAATAACTTATGGTTGTTAAATAATTTAAAAGCTAACCAACTAAACTGTGACATGACTCATGACTAGAAGACACTAATGTATATAACATGTTAATGGGGAAAAAAGTCGTGGCTTTAGAAGAATAAATGGATTTTTAAACTCTCCTCTTAAGTTTGATCTTGCTAAACACACACTCTGATTGATTCGTTTGTATTAGCCTGTCTCTCGTGAGAATGTAATGGAGTTTAAAGAGGTAAGATTATTGCTTACCAGTGTTAGACTGTCTAAATGCTAGATCTTCAACCGCTGAGTTTCCCCATACATTAAATATCCCATTCAACATGTAAGCATTGCATAGACTCACCTTCTTGTTTTCACTCTGAGGAGTGTGTCGGCTGCATTTGCGGAGTTCTCTAATAACTTGTCTTGACAGTCCAATCATCAGTGTCACTGCCCAGTTGTTGCTATTCAACTTCAAAAACTCTATTTGTAATTTTCAGTGCTAATTATCACCTCCCTTGAAGGCAGTTTATAGAGGGCTGTTATTTCTTTTGAGAATATCAGACTTGATGGCTGATGATTATTAACGAAATATGTCGCAGGACTCAAAGGATGACTAAACGTTAAACAGGTAACAATAATAGTAACTGTAATTTTGAGTATGCAACAGCAATGTTAAATATTCCAAGTGATTAAGTTACTGATAGTTAAAAAAGTAAACCTGCCAAAACTTAACAAATAGGTATTATAGGCTATTAAAACATCTAATTAACATTAACTAGTGGCAACAAAATTATGTTACAATATATAACCCTTGAGGCAATAAACAGAACTAAAATTAACAATAATAGTAATGCAACTCTTGCTAACAGTGAATATATAACCTACATTTCTATGACAAAAAGGAAGAATTTTATCATAGGCAATCTTAAATGCAATTTTTTTATTTCCAGTGGCTTTTTGTCAATGTAATTGGTTTACTTTTTTGATGAGAAAAGCTGGTGGCTGTTCAATTTGTAAGCCCATATAAGATTTTTTGCAGCTGGAGTTGCATGCTAACTTTCTTGACTAGTCTCTCAAACATGCATTTTCTCTGTTGATTCAGCTGTGTTTATTGATGTGGGCTTGGTTAGGTTGGCATCTGTCACACTGAATGTTCTGTCTCACTGTTTCAGGGATCTGAACATACTGGACAGCAAACTAGAAGACTGTTACATAATGCCCAGGTAAGCAAGAAATACAGTCAATCAATGAAAACAGATGCTTTTCTGACAGACGAGAATATTTGTAGCTCAGGGGTTGAACTGTGGGATCCTTGGTGCTCTCTGAGCTTAGTGGTTTTCTTGCAGACATTTCATCATCCAACTAGGTAACCTCATCAGTGCTGACTGATGATGTTACTTAGTTGGGTAATGAAACATCTGTAAGAAAACCACTAGGCTCAGGGACCACCATGAAACCAACAGATTCTTTTCTTCCAATAATTGTGAGGGTTGTGTTGACTTTGTGGAAATATTGCCACTCTTACTAAACAATTTTACTTTGTCCCAATTCCAAGGTAATAGTTTTATCCATTCTTTCTTGGATGTCACCCCCCATTGATCAAAGTGGGATTTCCTTTAGTGTAAAAATGATCAGTTTGCAATGTAAACTTGGGTCCTTGTCTAGAAAATATCGATAGCCTCCAAGACGTGGCTATCTATTCTAAAAAGAAATGAGACAGAACTATGTGGTGTTGGTTTTTGTGCTTGTCTATCTAGCAAGCTATTTCTGGTGTCCAAGAAGCCACAGGATGGTAATGAATGTGATGTATTGAGTTATTTCTTTTAAAGAAATAAAAGAAATCTTTTTCTTTTAAAGATTGGAACATTTCTTTTCAAAATCAACAAATATATTTTTTACAAGTACACTATCCATTAAGAGCAGAAATACATGACTGATTTTCAAAATTCAGTCTATGACTTTCAGGACTGAGTGGGTTAGCCTGTATTTGTGTTAGATTTTATTTTATATAAGATAGATTTCTTTCATTTATTGATTCATCTTCTTCCACTTTGCAGGTGAAGCCATCTCAGGTTGGCAAGGTACCAGCTTTTGAACTAGGAGAATTGATTGCTCTCTCACACCTGCTGACAGATTTTATATTCAGATACAACTTTTTGTGCATGCATTGTTCTAGAAGTCAAAGGGCCAAGAGGAGTTTTCAGTTTTTCTTATACCTTCTTCTCATAATATTTCTGGGAGAAAAAAATGGAATAATATAGCTACAGAGAATTAATACAGTACACAATTCTGCAAAATGTCAATAACTAGAAGTGCTATTTATCACAAAAGAAAGACGTGTATAGATATTTTTGAGTCATTTAGGCCACACATTGACAGCTGAAGTTAACATTGCTGAAATTCACAAAGAGAATGTGTTTTCCACAGTTCATGATTCAGTTATAAGCAACCATATCATGGGCCCTGGGGTAAGTCCTCATACTGATATAGTGACTACATATATATTTCTAGCAATAGAATGGTCTAAATTTTAGGCAATTTCAAATTTTCACCTTTTGGCAATTCTTCCCATATTACCCAAATGGTTGAAAAAGCTCTTTTCATAATTGAATCCTTTTGTAAGTAGCAGAGGATTCTAGAACATGCTAAGTTGCCCTGAAATTTACTTTACATAGATGTCTAACTGAGTCGGTTACATCTTACCTTTGTTCTGCATGAAAGGAGAAGCTATCTAATAGTGGGAAAATAGCAGCAGTAGAGAAACATCTCTTTCACTTCCTTGTACGCATTTGAAATATTTTACTTTGCCACAAATCAAACCAATATATGTATTGGTTCACCATAGCACCAACCACAAAATGTGATCTTAATGCTCTGAACTCCACTCTGGACTCAGTGTATGGTTTTCTTTCTCACTTGCATATTATTTAATACTCACATGGATTTGTTGTGAGGACAATTGAGATACATCATAAATTCAAAGCATAACCCAGTAAGACATGACACCTAGCAGTACAAAAAGACATTTTCTTCTACTTCCCCAAGAAAAACACAGCCTTTTTCTCGGCTTAAAAGCATTGGTTGGTGCATTTATGCCATTTTGACTTCTGGTCTATTCATAACTGGAAGTTCCCCTGTTTGGCCCTCAGGGATAATAGAATTCCCCCCACCCCTTAAGACATACACACAAGATTTTGTTTTTTCCAAACATAGTGATCTCAACTTTATTTCAAAACTCTGAAAATTGTCTACCCTAAAACCATTGTCTTATTCTAGAGAGCTGGCAATGGGACAAACCCAAAGTATAGTTGGTTGCTAAACTTTAGATCTCTGGTCCAAGTCATGTGGTGCAATTTTACTGCTCAGACAAAAACAATCTAGTCTTCTAAATTGATTGGAAGAAGGACCATCTGCAAATATCTGTTGGATATAATTCTGCAGTAGATCAATGATTGCAATTCTAATATTAAGAAAGCATTTGTCATGATTATAATCGAAGATCCTTTTAAAATGAATAACAAGAAGCAGTTTAGCAAATACTTTGTTAAAGGTGACTCTTTTAGCATCTGATATTCACTGACTTACTATCTCATTTCATTCATAGGGTCATTGCTGTTTCCAGTGAACTACATGAGCTTTGGAATGGACTTTGGCTTATACAAACCACACATTTAACAAGAACAAAGAAAAAAACAAGGTAGGGCAGCCTTCTTATCTAGAAGAAGAGAACATTTCAATAAGGATTAGATTGACTCACTTTTTGTCGGGGTAATTCTTTTTGAGTTGGGACTCAAATCAGATTATCAAGCATATGCATTGACACTACCGATCTTGGGGATTTGGTCAAAGTAATTTATACATATACAATATGCCCATATACACATTGTTTGTATATCTGAATACAGCTTTGAGACCTATAGAAAATTCCTAAAGGGATTTTGAAAACAAAATACATTTTGCAAAAATGAAAAACAAATATTCAGATTGATTTTTTAAAAAAATGTAAAGGTAACTTTCTTAAAAGAGGGGAAAGAGCTACCTAGTTATGTTATTTTGCTATGTCCTACCCACATCAAAATAGCATCTAATTTATATTTTATTTAATCTAGGTTAAATTGAACCGT